CTTTTTGCCCTCTCTTTCCAGGCATTATTGTAAATGGGTAGCAAAAAGGCAGTGTTATAATCGTGATCTGGAGCAAGATGAAGCTTTTATTCCCGCTAGGGAGTCACTTCAGGATCTTATTGATCAGTCACAGAATTCTGGAGGTGGTTCAGGACTTCCGTTGCTGGTAAGTCAGTGGGTTATCAATGCCTTTTCAGTTCAAGGTTCTTTTTTTTCTTCTTTCTTCTTCTTTTTTTTGGCAGCATTGTGTTTTGCAACTCACCTGCAACAGGCTGCTCACTGTAGGTAACAAGGAGTTCTCTAAAGAAGAAAGAACAGACTGGCAGACAAGTAGCAGACTCTTTTCTTCCTCCACCCGCCTGCTGTATTTCTCTGCTGACTACAGAGGAGGGGACATGTCCCTCTCCACCAACACAGACACATGGGCAATTAGCCATGTTAACAGATCAGTGAAAACAGATTAGTAACTTTTGTAGAGTAAGTTAGAAAGCTTACAAAATGGCATGCAACCTAAATTCATAGCTTTAGCAAGCCTAACAATATAAATGATTGTTTCAAAGTACATGCAAACAATTCACAAATACACCTCCTTTGTTGATGCCATTTTAGGGGGAAGCTGGACTGGACAAGTGGTCTGTGTCTTCAAGCCCCTCCTGTCCTAATCATCCTTATTAAACAAGACTTTAGCTAGTTTTTTCCACCTCCTATGTAATCCCATATTGTGGGAAAGGCAAGTCAATGAGCTTTCTGAGGAGGAGATTCATCAGTTAGAGCAAAACTACAAATTAAGTAATTATTATATAGAAGAAGGGATTGCAGAATTGAAGGGACTGACTATAATTATGTAAATAAGACAAAGCAAGTGATGTGTGGGAAACATGGATTGGAGCAATTGACAGAGGGAAGAGTGGATGTTTTCTGTCTTTAGCTATCACGGCTCATGATGTTTCCAGTGTTATGCACCTAGGCAAAATACAGACTGTAAGCATGAAAGCAACCATTCCTTACAGGGTCAGAAAGGTAGTCGTAGGGTAAGGGGTCAACATGAAGAAGAAAACATTCTTACGTTAAAGTGACTTTTCTACATTGTCTTTTAAATTTCAGTCAAATATTATTTTCATGTTTTGGGTTGCCCAGAGGCCAAGTATATTTGAAGCATTTGGATTAATCCACTGTAATTCTATCAACAGCACCCTGAATAAACTTTTAAACCCATATATGTTTTATCAGTGTGGTAATGACAGGCTGTTAGTCCCATTGACCTCGGTTATGATTTTTTTAAATCATTTAAATGAACAAATTCAGCAACATTTGTGTTTTTATCATTTTGTTTGGAAGAACAGTTACAGAAAGACTTCTGTAACTTCCTGTCTTAAAATAAAGAATTCAACACTCCTTATTAATTTAAAATTGCTTAGTAATTTCAGATTTCATCTTCAGGTACAGCGAACTATTGCCAAACAAATTCAGTTCGTACAGCAGGTTGGGAAGGGGCGATACGGTGAAGTGTGGATGGGTAAATGGCAGGGTGAAAAGGTGGCAGTGAAAGTATTTTTCACCACTGAAGAAGCCAGCTGGCTTCGAGAAACTGAGATTTACCAAACAGTTCACATGCGGCATGAGAATATACTTGGTAAGTAAGGAGAACTGTGCTTGAATGAAGATATAGTGCCCCTCTGGAAGAAAGACGAATTTTTTACATGGGATCAGTTCCACTGATGTACATTAGGGTATGAATTCCATATACACTGATGGTGACTGCCCAAGAAAGAGGCGGTGGAATTATAGAAAGCTTGATGACTATGTTACCCCAGTGTGCATCTGCTTGGAAAAGGTAGATTCCTTGCTAAGCAAAACTAGAAAACAAATTGCAAATAAAATTAACTGATATGTGTAGCGTTCACCCTGCTCATTAATATTTATGTGGAGATCTGCATGCACCAATAGGAGTTGCTGAGGAACTGAGTTAAGGGGGAGTGAAGAAAAGGAGGGGGAGAGAAGGGATCGTAGGTGGTTGAGAGTGGGGGAAGAAGGTGGCTTAGCTGAGAGTTAACAGCATTGACTGGACTGTTATCACCTGTAACAATAAACAATTTCTACTTGGTTCTTAAATGATACATTGCCTGGACCTCTGTCATTAATAGTGAACAATGTTGATGTTATCCACTAGTGGCAGCTGAATGAAGTGTGACCTTTTGCTTGTTGAAACAACCAAGGGCCACACAGGAACGTGACATCATGCTACCCTTGTACAAGCCTGAGGTCAACCACAGTTCTAATCATACCTCAATAAAGACAAGGTAGAACATGGAAGGGTAAAGAAATATGCAAACAAAATGGTAAAGGGAGCCGTTCTCCTGTGGTGAAAGATGACAGCATTTAACACAATTTCACTTTGAAAATAGATATGTAAGGGGAGTCATGGTAGAGATGTATAAAATATGTAGAGCTCACAGATTAAGAGAAATATTTCTCACTCTCTTATAAATCTAGAAGCCGGCTTATTCACTCAAGGTGAGTGATGTGAGATTCAGGGCAGGTAAAAAGGAAGTATTTCTTTGTACACATCTAAAACATAGCATTCACTTCTGCAAGATGTAGTGATGCTGAATGCTTTTAACAAATTAGACAAAATAATGGAGAATAAAGCTACCAGTAGCTATTTGTTATGTCCACTATCATGCAGTATGCCTCTGTATACCAATTGCCAGAGAACATAAAATACAAGATGCTGTTATGTAATTTGGGCTTCCTGTAGAGATCTGAATGGCAACTGTGAAAAAATGATAGTCCAGATTGTACTAAAAAAATAGCAGGTTATATGTGTGTGCATGGGTGTATGTATGTGTTTTGTTTTGTCTTCCTAAAATATCACAAGGACCGGGTTTAGAGGGGAGTTGCTCAAAGTCTTTAAACTGTCTTTGGTTTTGTCAATATTCATCCCTATCACAGTTTTTGTTTAATTGTGCTTAGAAATATTCAAAACTAATTATGTTCCTAAATCCCACAGGGTTTATAGCAGCAGATATTAAAGGCTCAGGCTCCTGGACCCACCTTTACTTAATTACAGATTATCATGAAAATGGATCATTGTGCTCGCCTCACAAAGTTTGCTCCCCTGTCATGGTGGGGGTAGCTGCTGCTGCTGCGTGCACCTTTTTTGAGGGGGGCCCTCAGAGGAAGGTTGCCAGACCTCCATGTGTGTGTTTGTTTTTTTGTGCATGTGCGCACACCTGTGTGGCCCCCACCCCATTCTGTTTAATTTCGCAGGTACCAGTGGGGGCTCTTCTCCTTTGGCAACGTGATTCTGTGAGGGTTTTCTAAATTTTATTTCGTGCCCTCCTTCCCCCCCCCCGGCTAGGCGATCGCCGGTGCTCCGTCCCTTCTCGTCTTCTTCGTCCTGCTGCTGGTGGTGGTAGTGAAGAAGAGCCAGAGGGGGTCGTGGCTGGCGATGAGGGCTCACGCCCGAAAAATCCACAACAACCACAAGCATGTTTACTTCTCCATTCTATTCCCGCTTCCCCACAATTCTTTCGTCTACCCCACACAATCTGTTTCTGTTCCATGTTCCTTGAGGATGCTCATTTCTAAGGCTTCTTTGACTAAAGATTTGTAGAACATGCAAGGCTCTCATTAAATCTCAAGATATCTCCCTCTTGTTCACAGTCAGTGCCTCTCTGGCCAGGTACACAATGTACCTCAATAGATGGGCACAGAAACCTGCCAGAGAACATAAACTACAAGATGCTGTTGTGTAATTTGGCCTTCCTATAGAGATCTGAATGGCAACTATGAAGAAATCCTAGTCCAGATTGTACTAAAAAGATAGCAGGTTATATGTGTGTGCATGGGTGTGTGTATGTGTTTTGTTTTGTCTTCCTAAAATATCACAAGGACTGGGTTTAGAGGGGAGTTGCTCCAAGTTTTTAAAATGTCTTTGGTTTTGTCAATATTCATCCTTATCACAGTTTTTGTTTAATTGTGCTTAGAAATATTCAAAACTAATTATGTTCCTAAATCCCACAGGGTTTATAGCAGCAGATATTAAAGGCTCAGGCTCCTGGACCCACCTTTACTTAATTACAGATTATCATGAAAATGGATCATTGTATGATTTCCTGAAGTGTACCACTCTAGACAACAGAGCTCTGCTCAAACTGGCATACTCCGCTGCATGTGGTCTCTGCCATTTGCACACAGAAATATATGGGACACAAGGAAAGCCTGCTATTGCTCACAGAGACTTGAAGAGTAAAAATATCTTGATAAAGAGAAACGGGACTTGCTGTATTGCTGATTTGGGGCTTGCTGTCAAATTTAACAGGTAGACAATTAAATCCTATCTTTGTATAAAACCCAGTGTTTATATATTTGGAGCAAAACGTTGTCCACAGATTTGAAAAATGTAAATGGCTCATTTACTTATTTTTGTAACAATAGAAAAATAGAAGGTTTCTATTTAAAAACAAAGTTTCTGGAAGAAGATGCTGTACATTTTCTTTGCAAAAAGTACTTTGGAGAGAATAACTGAGACAAAATGTTTCTGCCAAATGTTTTCAAACTGGGGGTCTGGAACTATTACATTTTAAATTGTTCCCAATGCCTTCAGTGAAGAGAAGGACAAATGTTACAATTCAGCACACTGTTCTTCTTCGCCACAGTACACACTGAACGATGTCCAGTATACAATGTTGTTCAGTTGTTCAGTCCTGTGAATAAGTATCCATATAACTTACTTCATAAAAGTTATCTGTGTAGACTACTTAAAATGCACATTAGTTGTAGATCACTTTGGTTTTAGGGGGTTCACTCTAACTGAACTGTAGTAAAAATTTCCTTCTAGTAACTGAAGGAAAGAGTTGGGATAATGTTGTTGCTCCTTCTGACCTGTTTTTATATACTTTGTCTAGTGATACTAATGAGGTTGATGTTCCATTGAATACAAGAGTGGGAACAAAGCGTTACATGGCTCCAGAAGTCCTAGATGAAACACTGAATAAAAATCATTTCCAGTCATATATCATGGCTGATATCTACAGTTTTGGCTTGATAATTTGGGAAATGGCTCGACGTTGTGTTACAGGAGGTAAAATGTAAAATCTCTTCAGATACAACCTTAAGCCAATACATCTACTTTGTGGTAGGGAAAAAAGCAAAAAACTTATTCTCTTGCCAAAAGTTCAGACAGTTTTTTTCTATATATATATATATTCAATCCCCATGTTTTTCTCGAATGTCATTTTGTGCCACTAATAGTAGATTAACTAATGAGTTGTCAGCTTTTCAGCCTTGGTGGAGAAAGAAATGCATGCTGGGGAGGGAAAAGAGTTCTAGGTTTTTCCTCCTCTACACACACATACAGTGGTGCCTCGCATAACGAGCGCCCCGTTTAACAATGAATCTGCATAGCGATGCGGATTTTGCGATCGTTTTTGCGATCACATTGCGATGTTTAAATAAGTAAAACATCGCATTCTGATGATCGGTAAGCATTTCGCTTACCAATCTTCACATTGTGATGTTTTAGAAACAGCTGATCGGCGGTTACAAAATGGCCACCCGATAAACAAAATGGCTGCCTGCAGCATTTTCGCGCTGATTCCTCGCTTACTGAGGTGGCGAAAATGGCAGCCCTATGGAGGATTCCTGCTTAGCAGTGAGTTTATCCCCCATAGGAACGCATCAAACTCCATTTAATGCGTTCCTATGGGGTTTTTATTTCCGTATAGCGACGTTTCTGGATAGCGACGATTTATCTGGAACGGATTATCGTCGCTATGGGGGGCACCACTGTATTTAATCCCCATGTGTTTCTCGAATGTCATTTTGTGCCACTAATAGTAAATTAACTAATGAGTTGTCAGCTTTGCAGCTTTGGTGGAGAAAGAAATGCATACTGGGGAGGGGAAAGAGTTCTAGGTTTTTCCTCCTCTCCAAGACTTTTTTCACACCCCTAAGCACTTTTCGTGATTACTGAGATTCTCTGAGCAGCTTTTCCTCTCCTTCAAGTGTTTGGGAACAATAAAGGTAGTGCATCTTGCATGACTGGAAGATGACTCCTTTCGTGTGAGCATCACTGCCTGCATTATTCCTCTTGCCTATGAAATTTCCTCCAGGTGTATTTGTCAGTAACATCCACATTCTGTAGAAGAAATGCCACAATTTATGGAGGAAGAAAATGTAGGAGTAAAAATGCTCTGTTTATGCACATAGAGTTCCACTGTTCCTCTCACTAATTCTTTTTCTGCCATCCAGCCTCTACTAGATGACAGAAAGAAGTTGTGGTAGCCCTACACACACAGACACACAGACGCACACAGTCTCACCCTTTGGCTTGTGGAGGATGGCAGTATGTAGTGGGGAGACTTTTCTATCCATGGAGGTGTTCCAGTAAGTTAGTACACTGGATAATTGGGGTCACTGGGGTTTCAAGATGCCTTCACTGCCTGCTTTAGCCTGTTATCCATGTTGTGGAAGTTGCTTTAGCCTGTTCTCCATGTTGTGGAAGTAAAGGGTGAGCTAATGGCTGAGTAGGGGCTTTGTAACATCTATAAAGCATTTTAAAAGACACAAGGAATCTTGGCCTATACTGACACATGGGGCATGTTTTATTTCCTATTTCTTGTAGAATAGCCTCTTTCATTAAGTCCATGTGTATTCTGTGCTCAGTTTTTTTCTGAGAAAGTTGTGATACAAATGCAATATAATGTACAGTACTTATTTGAAATGGGAAGTTGTAGCCTCTTCAAGGCTACCCGTAATTTGATAACAAAACAGGGTATAATAGTAGACTGGTGTCTGTCACAGTATATTCTGCCAAGGATTACATCCGGCTTACATTTCTATTGTAGGTATTGTTGAAGATTACCAGCTACCCTATTACGACATGGTGCCCAGTGATCCTTCATATGAAGATATGAGGGAAGTGGTATGTGTTAAGCACCTGCGCCCAGTAGTATCTAATAGATGGAATGGTGAGGAAGTAAGTATGCTGGAAGGAATGAATTTTTTTTTAATTCACTGGAAAGCTGTTTAAACTTCTTGGGACCCAGAATCTTCCTTGGTTTAAAAAAACCTCATGTAGGTTACTCTCTTGCCTGCATAGTCGTTGCCTTTGGCTTCTTGAAACCAGTACAGTGGACCCTCGATTTACGGAATTAATCCGTATTGGAAAGGTAGCCACAGGTCGAAAATTCCATTTCCCATAGGAATGCAATGAAAATAATTTAGTCTGTTCCAGCCAAAGGAAAAAAAATCCCAGGCTTCCAAAACTGCACCTGATGCCTCTGCCTTCTGTCCCCACTGCCCTCTGCCTAATAATAAAAATAATAATAAAATTTATTGTCATTGTAAGTATATACACAGTATACCATACAACGAAATTCACGGGGACAGGAGACAAGAGGGCAGCGGGTGAAGCTTTCTAAACCCGCAAAGCCGGCAGCGGGCACGGAACGGCCTTTGGCTTGCTGTCAGAAAAGCATTCTCCCAACTCTCACTAGTAACACTCTGCCAGCATTGCAAAAATCATTTAAACAGAGAACCAAGATGGAATCCCTCTTGCATTATTTACCTACTGCATAGCCATCTACATACATACATAAGCCATCTTCAGGACATGATCTTAACCATATATCCCATCTCATCACAGAGAGCACCAGGGACAGGTGACAAGAGGGCAGGGAGGGCTGCTTTGAATTTCCCACCCTTTACCTCTGCCTTTTTGTAGGTCAAAGCTCTGGCCGCAAGTCGAACTAAAATTTTGCGGCCAAAGCTTTTCGTACCTCAAATTTTCCATATGTACGGACCTTCGTATGTTGAGGATCCACTGTACTATTTTCTTTTTCTAACATCTTCATTCCTAGTCTCTGACTAGAAGAGGAATTTAATATCCAATACCAAATTGTGCAAAAATGCTCCAAGTATGAGTCATGCAAATTAGGGAAATGGCAGACTTAAAACATGGATTATTGCAATTTGTACAATTTTTGTTATAGAATCTGTGAGTTGTGGTTGTAGATTTAAGATATATTTTCCCAATTTTTGCTCTTTTCCTTTTTTTGTGCATAGGCTTTTATATGTACAGTGGTGCCTCGCTTAACGGACGCTCTGTTTAACTACGAAATTGCACAACGACAAAGTTTTTGTGATTGCGATGTTTCCTATAGGGGAATTTTGCTTTGTGATGATCGGTTCCCTGCTTCGGGAACCAATTCTCGCAAAATGACAATTTTTCTACAGCTGATTGGCGGTTTCAAAATGGCCACTGGGTAAAAAAAATGGCCGCCTGCTGTTTTCTGGGACGGATTCCTCGCTGGATGGGCAGCGAAAATGGCCGTGCTATGGAGAATCTTCGCTGGATGTTGAGTTTCGAGCCCATAGGAACGCATTAATCGTAATGCAAGGCACCACTGTACTTACAGGTTATAATATTTGCTTGCCATATCTCCATTATGTGTTTCCAGTAATTAGTTTGGTGCCCCTAGCTAAAAAAAAGAGATTATTAATCACAATTAGTTCTAAGGAGAATTATTTCACCACCCTGTAGGATAATTCACAAAACTTTTAATCACTTATGTGGCTAAATCCATCTAGAATAGAAAAAGTTATCACAGTGTACTTAGCATTTTATCATTCACTTGTCTTTTCTGCTTGGTCAACCCAATATATTTTTCAGAAA